AAATAATAAATGGTAGCCAACACTTCTCCTCAAGTTGGTACAAGGATATTGCACATTCTTAACTTGTAAACCAAGTTCTCAAAAGCCATACTGCAGTTTATCATTGTCAATCCTCTTCTTTGTTCGAATATTCTGATTTAACTAAATTTGATGCACCTATAGCTGATGAAGAGTTGAATTGAGACAGAATACGCCTCAAACTTTAAATCTCTTCGGTTGAAAAGATTTCAACTGTTAGTGTGTCAGGTGTTTCACTTGTCTCAACTAAATTTCGTGGAGCTCTTTTAGGTTTACCTTTCCTTCTCTCACGATCTCTAGTTAGTTTTCCATATAATTTCCATCAAGTTTCCTCAGAGTGTTTTGTCTTGTCACAATACTCACACCTCTGCAGATATTTGAACTGGTCAGACTGAGCAACTAATCTAACTCTCTCAACTGGTGCTATGTGAAGTATGACATTCCTTCTACTTCTTCTTACTAAACATAAGAATAACCTTATTGTAGTGAGGGAATATGGTCCTTACCAAGCACCTGAACCGGTATATAATTATATTCGGTGTTCAGACCAGCTAAAAAATTATAAATCTGCTCATTTTCTCTTAATTTTTGAAATTTGACTGCATTTTCAAGATAATCTACTTGAAAGTCTTGATAACAATCTAACTCTTGTTATGATCCACTTAGTTTTGAGCAATATTGAGAAATAGATATCTTTCCTTATTTTGTACCATTAACCTTATTACAGAGTTTATAAATTTAGACATCATTACCCACTTGCGAGTACATGAGAGAGATTGCATTTCATATTTTCGCTACAGTATTGAGCAACAGATATATTCGTTCAATACAGGGTCACATGGAATTGATGAATCAAGATAGTAGCAAGGAATTTTCAAAGTCCCATATGTTATATTCCAAATTATCTACATTTGATTTTTTCATATCACCTGTAATGTACCCCTACAATTCTCTAACTTTGATAAACAATAAATAAAATATTGACCAAACAAGATAACTAGTTCCATCAAATTTTACGGAATTGATTTGTAATGAAGGATTATCCGACTAAGAAACTATCACATTTTTTTCTTCTGTCATTTTAGAAAACTAGAAACAAGAAAAAATAATACCCAATAATGAAGAACATATATTTTAATCAGCAGCAAATAATGCTAAAAAAGTGTTGCAAACTAGAACTAAATCTGTCGAGCAGTAACTCGGCTTGGCTCAGCTAAAAACGGCTCGTCCTCAACTTAAAAACGGCCCAAACTTGGCTCAATAAGACTCAAACTCAGCTAAAAAATGATTCGAGCTTGGCCAAGAGGGATAGCAGCTTTGCTCGACAACGGTTCAACTTGGATAGATCAGATCTGCGCGAAATGCGCCGCAACGCGGAAGACTAGGTTTGGATCTGCATGCGACAAGGCGCGCCTAGAAAGCTTCCTACACATGTCTCCGCGTGCGACGGAAGAAAAAGATCGAAGGTCGAACCTGCGTGCAACCTGTGTGCAGTGGAAGAAGGTCCAAGGTCTAAATCTGTGCGTGACATGGTGTAGCTTCTTGCGCGTGGCTTTGCGCGCAAAAGAAGAAAACTTGCGACGCGGACATATCAGATTTGCGCAAAGTGCAGGGCAGCAAGAAAGCTTCCTAAGTAGCGGAATAAGGAGATCGACTGCTTTCTCTCTTCCTTTGATCTGGCATCTCTTCCTCTGATCTGGCTTCTCTTCCTCTAATTTGGCTCTCTTCTTCTGATCTAGCTTCTCTTCCTTTAATCTAGCTCTCTTCCTACTCAGTCTATTTTTGCTATTTTAGAGTTTGGAAAAAATTCTAAAATTAGAACCCTAAAATAAGTTTATTTGGCTCTCTCTCTCTCTCTCTCTCTCAGATCTGGCTTTCTAGGGTGCTGTTGAGAATAGATCCAAATAACTAGGTATCAACCCACTCTATTGTGCTATTTTAGGGTTTGAAGAAAACTTTAAAATTAAACTACTAAAATAGCTTTATTTGCCTCCGATATCATGTTGATTTTTAAAGAGAAAAAAATATTAATATTATTTATCACTTTTTATATTGTTACACTTAGAGTAGTTATAAAATTCCTAACATATTGATAAGAAAACTCATATTCTATTAGGATTCTATATTTATGAGATAATTATTCTTGTACAATTCTATTTATATCATAATAAACTAATTAAATAATAAATTAAAATAATTAAATAATAAAATATAGTCGCCAACAAATAATTGAATATCCAACTCCAGCATTTGATACTAGGTTTTTTAAGAGGAAAACAAAGAGAAAACTCTTTTGTGCATGCTAAATCAATCAAACACTACCATCCACGCATGAACACAAAAATCAAATGCTGAGCTTCTTGATAATAAAAAGTCAATCAGTCAAAATAGAAGATATCTAATCTCATTTATCCACCTTACTACCACGTGGGTCATTTGGAAGGAAAAGGACAAGAGGGCTTCCGAAGACCAAGTTTTTCCTTCTTGTAGAATTAGGATTTTTAGTTCTAGAAACTAGTTTTTTGGTTTACGGGTTATCCTATTACTAATTATGAGGATTTGGGCACCTTATTAATATTTTGACTGATTTTGTAACTATTTGGTATATGGCTAGCAACCTTTTTGCTGCCTGTATATGCATTATATATTACTTGTGCATTTTCTTTCCCACAAAAGAAAAAACAATCTCATGTATAAGATAAAAGACCTTAAAACTAAGCTCGCATGAATGTTACCCCTAAAAATAACTCAAGTTGTAACTTTACCTTCACGACCAAAATGAACATTAAACATAAATGGACCCAATTAAACCTAAGTTACATGCTACAATAGCAGGTCATTCACTCTTTCCGTTTTTGTTTTCAAAACATCTTGCTCACATCACAAACTCAGTAAGATAAACTCTGAAACAGACTGATGCACCCCCAATATGTTGGAAGCCCTGAAACCATTACATGCTAAACAATTGATAAGCAACACTAGACGAATCTACTTCACAAACTAATTTTTTAGACTCCTCTATGAGGTGCTTCATAGCAAACTTCATCATTTGCCTTGAAATCCAGACAATTAAGTTTCACTACTGATGTAACACTGGAGAGTTTTCTAATACAACAAGACTATACAAACTAATTATAAAGAAAAACTTAGACCTGACAGCGAAAAGAACAGATGAAGTAAAGAAAATTTTCAAAAGTATAGCAAATCATCTTCCATCATCTAAGAATAACCTGTATCTCAGACTTCAACCCATTGTAAACTTGATTGTTTAGCTTTTGCAGGACAGTAATACATGGATGTGCAATGCCAGGGTCCTCCGGAGAGATAGAGTCCAACTGGAAAAGCAAACAATTGAGACCAGACATAAGAACACATCTAGTACAACTGTGAAAGCAGGATCGAATTGCTATTGAAAATTATTCTTACTTGCAAAGCCTTCAACAAACAATCTTCAAGTCCTTCAAATGATGAAGAGGGCATGAGGCAGATCTAGTAAATGCAAATTAAAATGAAATTTCCATAAAATATTTAGGAGTTTTCACAAGGTGGAATTTTCCTAATTGAAAACCGAAACAAACAAAAAGAATTTATATTTACCTCCAAAAGAGTGCACAAGATTTTGACTTCAGTTTCTGACAGCTTCTGGGAAGACTTGTTCTGCTCAAAGTAATATTGACTACGTCTAGACAGCAGTGATTTGACATCTTCAATACATAGGATTGCGCTGCCCAACCCTTTGAGTGATGAGAGAACGACTAGCTGTCCAAAAGAAACCAATTTCATTGAATTACCTCCTAAAAATATCAGTTTTATACCTAAAGCACAGTAATTCTTCCTTCAAAGAAAAGTACCCTATGAAATTACTAACTACCTAAAACAGAGCAGCTTCTGAAAATAAAAAAGAAAAAGAACTGGGAAGAAACAAAAAGAGAGAAAGGAATAGAGTGCACCTTCCCATATGCAGGAAGTCTTAGCACAGAACCAATGATGAAAGCAAGAATATTATCTTTTGTAGATTGATCCAATCTGAAATGGAACATTAGAGGAAAAATCTCAGATTGTTAAGCATTAAAGAGATATGTCAATTATTTGGAATATACATCTTCCATGATGATGGGGAGATGTTATACAATCAACAAAAGAAAACTTAGATTTTATAAATCAGGTGTGCATAAACTAGTTCAAGAAATCATATGACCTTTAACCTAAAGCCTACTTAGCCTGGATGTAAACCATAGAAGATATCAGCGAGACACTAAATGCATACACACAAAACAAGCAGAAACAGGTTAAGTTCAACAAAAATAACAGTCAGCAACTCACATTTTTTGGACTATAAAATGACTAATTGATTTGCTACACCAAGTAAAAAACTTTTATATTATTAGAAAACCTATCTTTCAGAGCTTCCTAATGCAAGGGCTGTTGATAATTGCAAACCATTTTTATTGGCTGACATGGTTCCCAATTATCCAATCCATAGAAACTACTAAAAGACAATTAAACAGAAGATCCAACAAAAGGAAGGAAATTCAACATTCTAAATGTTATCATTTCCCTCAGCAACACCCAGCATTAACTAACACAGTCCCATCAGCTCAGGTTTCCGTTAATAAATACCAATTCCCATTTTCATTAAAACTTTCAACAACCTTTTGAAGAAAAACCTGTAGAATCATATGGAAGGAAAGATTTTATAAGGAGAAGGAAACTATCTAAGATATTAGGAATAGATGACCTTTTAATAAAATATTTTAGGGTCCAAAACTAGGACTCTTTAATCCGACAAAAAGGAGAAGCTTCAATAATTTATTACAAACAAGTGATAGGACTACAAATCTAATATGCTAGATAATAATTGAACTGTGAAAATCAGTAATTCGGAAGCATTGGTCAACGGACAGTGTAAAAAATAGTAAAATCTGCCTGTTGTCATATCGTCTCATTGTTTTTAGCTGTAGTAAACAGCACTCCATTCATTGATTGAAAAAATAACCAGAAAGGTTCTATAGTTACAGAAGCTAATACCTCCGTTCAACGTTCTGTGGCACTGAAAGGGTACTATGAGGAAAACCCAGCAATGATATCAAGAAAGAAGAGAGATAATTTTTGTCTGATAATATTAGCTCCTTTTGTTGGATCATTAAGTCCAACAGTTCATCAAGAAAATGACTCCAGACCAAAGTGCTCCCTGTTTCAAGATATACAATTTGAAACTGAGTTAAAGAACAATATATTCCAGTAAGAATTTTGATCTCACATGGTGGTACCATTTTTCTTGCTAGTGAAGTCAATACGTCGCCAGAGCGCGTGAAGCCCTTCAATGCAGCTCATGGCGGCACTTCTGAGATCCTGAAAATTAGATGGAATTTATATAATATTATCTTAACTGCACTTGATCAATTGCAAAATAACCATTCATCAAGAAGATAATTGACCATCTATACCTATAAGCAAAATGGATACCAAATTCCCTAAAAAACCCTCCAATTTCGCTCATCCAAAACCACCGAGAATAAAGACAATGGCTTTTACCATGAAACATGATCATAAGCTTACTCCATGTAAAAGAGATGCAACGACAGAGTCCCTTACTCCAATTTTTCTCCAAACCCCATTCTCTTTAACATATACATGAAACAACCATTATACATGATTATAAGCTTTTTCTAGGTCTAACATAACTGCCCTCTACCCAAATTGTAACAGAGAATCAACAACCTCATTTGATATCAAAGCAGCATCTAGAATCTATTGAGCACCAATGAGAGCATGTTGGGCTTCACCAACCAACTATCTGATCACCCTGCTGAGCCTGATGGCAAGAACTTTAACATTCATCACTGGATAGATTGGCTTAAACTCTCTAATATTTACATTTTCAACCTACCCAACCAAAGATAAAATGACGCACTGACCATCTTACAAAATTTCTTACTTCAAGGACACCTAAAGAAAAAACAAGCCGGTGAGCAAAATGGTACCCTTTCTAATCATGTTATAAATTGCCAAACTAATCCTCAAGTAGGATTGGAAGCACAAAACACAACCTTAAGAGATGACCCTCTCAAGATGCCAACTATAGGATCATCTTAGAGATGAGGCTCTCCACCCCCAAACCCCGCTCTCCACCCCCAACCTCCCCTCCCCCCACCCCCAACCCCAAAAAAAAGATCCAGAATAATGACCTACCTCAACTCCAAACACCTCAAAAGAGATTTTGTGAATGAACATCACATTTCCTAACCTTATACAATTTTTTTCTCAAAAAAAGGCCACATCCCATAACACTCCATCATGGTCTTTAGTAACTCACGCCAAAAGATATTTATCTAGTAGTATGAAGTGTTCTAAACAAGTTAAGAGAAAAAAGGAAGGAGAAGGAAAAAATATTAGTAGTCAATATAATGAAGTCCTGGAGAACTCTAAGGAATTGAAACCATTAAGTAAACACACACACAGCAGAAGAAGGGCCAAACCTGCTTGGCACTGAATAATGGAACAAGAATCGCAGGAAACTCAGCCAAAAGCTCAACTGGCCAACTGTTATTCTCAGAACAAAGATATGCAAAACAATGAAGACTTTCAACTTGCACTGTAACAGGAACTTCTGAAAAGAAGAAATGCTGATTTATGATTACATTCATTTCATAAGGGTGAAAGACCATAATCTCTTTCTAAATAACTTTTAGATCATAATCAGTGGCACTAGCATGAACTCAAAATTTGTGATTTCAGAAGAAATCCTGATTTATGATTACATTCATTTCATAAGGGTGAAGGAAGGACCATAATCTCTTTCTAAATAACTTTTAGATTATAATCAGCGGCACTAGCATGAACTCAAAATTTGTGATATCAGCTACCCCTTTAACATTAAGAAAAAACTGCAAAAATAAATGAGAAACCACAAGTAAGCACCTTCCTCTGTAAAGAACCTGGACAGAAAAGAGACAGGAGACCTCTTGCATCCTCTAACTAGGTAGTGACAGTGTTCCTTGAAAACATGCTTCAATCGAGAGGCTGCGAAAAAAATAAACAAATCTTTGATCCAGCTTTCCTTATCACCCTGAAAATAAGAAAATATCAAGGCGATCAAATTGGACCAGAATGTCTTAGAAGATGGGAAAAACGTTATGAACAAAGATTAAGAGCTGGCATCACCAACCGCCAAGGAATCTGCAGGCACCATTGAGAAAAATGCCTCAAGCAACCTCCAAAAGAGGCAAACGAGGATCTTTGTATTTAATGTGTTAACATCAGTATCAAACAGCTGGAACAGGAGTTCTCTGCATTCGCACTGTTGCAACTGGCAATCAAAAGCATAAAATATACTAAATAACAAAAAAATGGGGCAAAAATTTGCTTCAAATAGAAAATACAATGTCAAACATCAGACAAGGAAACATCTTCCTTACCTCTTTCAGAGAAACATCAACTGCAAAATCATGGATTTCCCACTCCATCTTCAACACCGGAAAGCAAACTTCAAAAACAGTGGAAAATTGACCTCTACCTAATTTGATAGAAACTTAATGTAAGACCTCATCGTCATATACAGCACTGGATACAGGATAATTACAATAGATCCAAATACACATAACATATTTTTTTCTAAGTGCAGAGTAGCCATTTCCCTGACAAGGAGATAATCCATGGACAACCCAAAAGCACTTATGTTTGTGCAAAATAGTTTCATTACAGTAGTCTACTAGTCGTCACTCAAAATGAGAATTATCCAAAATCCCACTTTGCATGTCTAATTTAAGCCTGAGAGAAGTGAGAGAGATCATATACCATTCTTTACAGCCAGAAATGACTGCAGAAGGACCAAAAGAAATAATGTCTTTGAGGATGCAAGATCACTGCAACTTTCCATAAGCCAAGGCATATGCATACCAGGATCCATCAAAAATGTTTCAGCCAAACTACTAACAATCTCCAAATTAAATGCAGATACTCTTTCTCTTTTCTGCAATTCTTTCTAGAAAATCACAAGACTAAAGTGAGAATTTTCCGAAACAATAACTATCAAGGCTATGTTTGGAATAAATCTTTATCATCTTTTAATAGACCCTTAGTTCAACTAAAAGATGCTGAAAAATCTTCCTGAAATGATAAAAACTGACCTCAAAAGAAATCAATTTTTGTCATTTTCTAATTAGAGTTTGCAAATGAATTCTGTAGAACTTCTGGACTTATTCCAAACATAGCCTAAAAAATAAATAGTTAAACCCTTGGTCTGTGAGTTTTAAAGGAAAGAAGAGCTCAGAAATTGTTGACCTGCAACTTCCTTCGTTCTTGTTCCAGCAATTTGAAATCACCACGACATTTTGTAAGTTCTGATAACTTGAAATCACAGGAACTTTCAATAAGCTCAAGCCTATGTTCATCAACGTGCAACAAAAGTGCTTCTCCCAGACTACCAACAACCTCTATATTTATTGGCGATATGCCTCCATGTAGTAATTTTTGCATTTTTTTCTAGATCAAAACTTCAAAAATTATTTCAAAGACATAACATCAACTTAATTACCAAAATTCACAATTGCTAAAAAAATAGAATCTAATGAAAAATAAGAAAACCAGGCAAAACAATTAATAAAGGCAATCCTTCTGCCATTTCCAATGAAGCTTGCACAGCAGAAATAAATAACAAGGCGACATGTTAAAGACCTTAATCATCACTTTGTTGCACCAAATTCAAGATATACATAACCTACAAATTCAGACGGGGCAATCGTACGAAAACCCACAACACATGCGACTTTACAATAGCAGAGGAAACACTAACTTGAGACACAGTTACAGTAGGTGGATCCAAATAAGGTGCCCATAAAGAAAAACAAAAAAAGAACCAGTAAGCGTCACAGACAAATCAAATTTATTCAAGGTAGGACTTCATTATCCACCTTAACTCCGCACACCTCAGTTTTACACGATACAAAAGGACATAACTCCTCACTCTCATTTTAGTTCTTAGTTTGCCGTTCATTTCTAACATTGATCTTGTCATGAAATAATTTAACGATTTTATTAGCAGCACTTGGTGTTCCAAAATAGCAACACACCAGGCCCAACCGTCCACACTTCTCAAGCCTACTTTCTGTGGACTAAAACATAATGGCATTAACTCTGGAACGAAAGCTTAAAAGCCTAACACTAACCTTTTCAAAAAAAAGGCCTACAACTAAACCTTTATCCACAGGAGAAGGGAAAAAGATAGACAACAAACTAGAACTTTTAATTGTTTAATTAACTAAAAGAACCCCCACGACAACTAGACTTCCTTCCATCCACAAAACAGAGGGAAGAGAAAAGAAAAATGATGTCAAAAGGATACAAGAATTTTAATCATGCAATTTTTTAAATAATGGAAAAACTTCTTGACAAAAACAAACCACTCCATCCAAAAAATAGAGATAAAAGAAAGAGAACATTGACGTCCCAAAAGATACAAGAAATTTCAATCATGCAGGTAGTTTAACTAATGGAAACAATTTCCATGACAACAACCCTTCCCATCCAAAAAACAGGAGAAAAGGAAAAACAGAATGGAAGTTCCAAGAGAGATTTCGATCATGCAAAGATTTAAATTGATGAGCCATAACGATGAACAATATCAATTTTCCGAGAATTAAAGTAATGCAAGTCATACTATGATTAGGCTTTCAGAAATTTGGAGGCTAATGGCAAAAAAAATGCTGTGTCAGAGTACTGGAAAACTAATTCGTTTTAATGGGAGATATCAGCAAAGAAAGAAGATAATTAGCTGCTAAATAATTTGATAAGCTTATTTTTAGTTGTGCATGTGTCAGGATCTTCTGTTATGTTTTCAAGGTGACAATTTGTTAGACATTTTAATGTTTATGGCATGCCTCCTGCTTCATGGCACTTGAATTTGATTGAATAATCCATAACCGCTCACTAAAATAGAGACAGTTCCTATTTTTCACTCACGTAGCAGTTATTATGTCAATATTCTGTAAAGATTAATTCCGATCTTGTGGTAATGGAAAAAAAGAAGAATTTAGAAAACATTTCTTGAATATTTTAAACTTTAGAAGATCGATGAGTTATCTCTTAACAAACCCACAATACTAACTTATCCCCATAACAATACCCGTAGGGACCGTAACATTCCTTCTCAAGTAATAAAGCAACTAGAAAAGAATTTGACATAAAAATTTACCTTTTCTTCATTGGAGAGAGCAACAAGATTCTGAAAAAATGGCCACTTGACTTCTTTTGCTGATTCAAGTGCTGTTAAACTTAGCCTCTGTGTCTATAGTTTATTATAGCAGACAAACAACAGTCAATATGCATGGCTGGCCTATGAAGGTGGCCCTAAGAAACCGAACCTAGCAATTAACATATTAACAAACCTTTGGCTGAATTAGGAGTAGAGGAAACATCATAGCAGCAAGTTTCTTTGAATAATCAATATCATTATGGTAGCCTGAGACAGTAATCTTCATAATTGAAGCAGCAACATCAACAGCTAAATCTATGTCATCTGAAGAACCTGCGCATGTTGAAACAATAAATTACAAAGAAGACTGATACAAATCCAAAGACGAATAATAAAACTGCTTTTGTATGCAACAAGGAGGGGATTAAATTCCTCATTCCAACTTGAGGAAGCAATCAACATGCGGTCATGCTAATAGATGGAGAATATTTTGTCTCCTTGCAGATCCCCCAACAAGGTGAGAATGTTGTCTCCTTGCAGATCCGCAACAAGGTGAGGATCTCTCTCGGGTCTTTTATTGCTTAAATTTGAAATATAACCAAAAATTTAAATACTCAATAAATCCAAAACTTTCCAATTTAACATTCAAATTTTAACAACTCAAATTTAAGACACTTAAAATCAAATATAAAAATTTTAAATTGTTTAATACATTTTAATATAAAAATTGAAATCTTTATAGGGAAAGAAGAATTATTAAAGATTAAGAAAAGTACATCACATGAGGACAAGTTGTCCTCGAAAAATAAAGAAGAAAATAGAAAAAGAGACAAGTTGGGGAAACAAAAAGGAACTAGAAGAATCTACGTGTAAAACATTCAGATATGATAAGTACATGATACTACATCCTTTTATTTTAAATAAAAACGTTGAGTAGCATATTTTATTATTTAACTATTTTAATGAATTATTTAACTAGTTGGTATTTATTATTTAATTAGGTAATTTTATGTAATTAGAATTATAATATAATAAGATTTATCATTAGTAAGTTAAAAATTTTAAAAATACTCTAACTGTAACAACTTAAATGATGAGAAATAAATTATTATTTTTTCCTAAAATCAACATGGTATCATAATCAAATAAAGTTATTTTAGTGTTTTAAGTTTAGGGTTTCCTTAAAATAGCACAATATACTGGGTTGGTACTCATTTATCCATATCTACTTTTATCACCACCCCAAACAGATCCGGAGAGAGAATCGGGGCCAGCGTCTGACCAGAAGACTGACCAGCTGCCGTTGCCAATCAGCTTCTACTTTCCGGCTTCAACTTCCTGGTCGCCAATCAGCTTGCTTCGGTTTTTCCTTCTACAAGATCGCTGCGCCTCCGTTCCAGATCTGGTTGGGTAACAAGACAGCTGCTCCCGCGCAACCAGGCGGAGGAAGACAGCTCTGCGTGCGGCATAGAGGAAGATTGGCGCACACAGGTGTCAGATCTGGTCTGTTCGGAGAGCGAAGGAACTGCGGACGGCTGGAGAAGAAGGCAGAGTGGTGCTCAACCAGCTCTGCAGGCGGTGGAGAGGAAGATCGGTGCGTGATGGCCAGATCAGGGCGTCAGCACATTGGATCTGTCCGGGAAAGAGGAGTTGCGCATTTTTCAGGTGCGATTTCATTAGATCCGTGCCGGATCTAAGCAGGCGCAAGCTTCTGTGCCGATTCTTGGCGATATTTCGGCAGCGCGTGGTGGCTGGCAGCTGCAAGAGCGGTGGCGCGTGATAGTTTGCTGGCGGCTCGTATGGTGCTCCGGTTGAGCTCGAGCTATTTTTGAGCTAAGCCCAAGCCATTTTGAGCCGGACCAAGCCGTTTAGAATTGGGCCAAACCATTTTGAGCTTGACCAATCTGTTTTGAGTTGAGTCAAGCCGTTTTGAGCTGAGTTCGAGCCGTTTTGAGTGCAGTCTGAGCCGTTTTTTAGGCGACTTCGAACTGTTTTTTGAGCCAAACCTGAGCTATTTTTTCAGCCGAATCGAGGCGAGCTACTGCCTGAAAGATCTAGTTTCAGTTTGCAACTTGGTCTGCAAGTTGGGCATGTGTGATATTCTTGCACCAACTTGAGAGGGGGTGTTGAGTAGCATATTTTATTATTTAATTATTTTAATATATTATTTAACTAGTTAGTATATATTATTTAATTAGGTAATCTCATGAAATTAAAATTATAATAAAATAAGAATTTTCTAATTAGTAGGTTATGAATTTTGTAAATATTGTAAGTGTAACAACTTAAAAAGTAAGAAATAAAATTATTTTTTCTCCTAAAATCAACAAAAAATAATATCAATTTACAGACACCAAGGAGGTGCAAACTCGTATGCTAAAATATTTACATATCTAACAAAATATCAATCAGGTTCCCAAGATCCCCACACCTTTAATGAAAAAACATAGTTTATAAGCAAGGGTCAGTTTATAAGCAAACAGACACCACAAGAGGATATGGTTGCACAATTTTGCATCCCTCTTGTTCAAAAAGCAACCATTAATCAGAATCCTACCACTCCTAATCACTTGTCCAATGGTAAAATGCATTCTCCGGCTGCTCCTAAGCAAAACAAGCCACTCTAGGCGAATAACATAATGATGTAGTACATGATACTACATCATATAGTAGTACTTAGCATAACATATTGTAAAATATATTGTATATACATAGATAACATATATTGTAAAATATATTTGTAAAATACACAACATATAATATAAAAAGCCTTATAATGTCTCAAAATATGTTATATATAAAATATTTTTTAAGAGGAAAAAGGAAATTATATAAATTGTAGCGCCCTCTACCACCCATGTATAGAACAAACAAAATTACAAGGTAGATCAGTTATCATAAGGCTGCCCGAATCAATCCCATTAAGGAGAGAAAGATCTTCCGACAAAAAAATACTAGGTCCGGAATCATAGGTGTCTAGCAGAGAAATTAGCAATAAATCCATCAAAAACTGTTGCATTTTCTTCTGTCCAAATTCCACCAAATGGAAATGGGTATGAGACCTACAATGGTATCCCTTACATCCACCAGCCTGAATCCACCCCCCCACCCCAAAAGCTTTCAATTCAGCAGGTATAGAGTACTGATCAACACTGGATACCAATGAGCAGATAGCTGAGCTCTAACGCCTTCTTCCTTCCATACACGAGAAAACAAGATGGCAGGGGGACTTATTGTCTTCAGAGCAGAGTGGAAAGGATATAGTGATCATGCAACCTCTCTTTCCCAAATTATCAATAGTCAGAATACAAACCCTAGGCAACTTCCCATATGAAAAAAATCAGGGTCACTTTTCCAAGGAATATTATCTTATGACTAGCACAGGCTGTTACTCTCTTCTTGCAGAAGCTTTAAAGTGTCAATGAGCCTTTGGCGAGGAGGATGAAGTAAAGAAGCTTTGTAGAGAGGATGGCCCTTTTTTCATAAAGTAGTCACATATGGCAATTACGTTCCTAAGAATTCCCTGACCCCTCTGTTTGCATGGCGTCAAGCTCAAAAATTTGCATCCTAAGATTTGATGCTTTGGAAACTGCACAGGATAGGATTTTCAACCTCAACAATCTCACAAAAAAAATAGGGAAGATATCGGTAAATGGTTTTTCTTTTACTGGACGCTAAGAAGGTTGTTACCACCTTTCATTTCCTGTAACTCTGCTATTGTCTGTGTTGAAACTTAGTTGAGCAGTAGAGGAGCTCAATCAGTTTCAAGCTATGGGCTTGGGATGGGGTGAGGGCATCTGCGAATTTTGAACATTGGTTTTTTTTTTATCCTCTACTCAGACTTTTGGTTATCTGGAGAGCAGAACAAGATAGCTTTTGACGATGAGTTTTCCCAGCTGTAGAATCTGCAATAACTGACTTCAAACTCTTAATCTATGGTTCTCAACTTGCCTAATGTCTTATGCTTCAGATATCCACATCTAACATAAATTTTGCAGTGTATCTAGCATCTGTACAAGGTGGCAGCCTCTTGTAGCGTTGCAAAATAACACTTCTTTTTACCCAGAAAAAGGAGAAGCATTAAAGCATGCAATCCATAAACCACGTAAACAAATTGACTCATGTTTCCTCGGCCAATTAAGTAAATATAAGAATTCAAACAAGAAGTCTCTTAGAATGGAGGCTGCAACTACAAGATCTTCTTGCAAGAATATCTTGAATTCAAATTGTAATTCACTCAACCCAGGTTTCTGACTGTATATTTCCAGATGTATCTCTGCCAAGGACTTCACACCAGAACCTTTTGATAGAGGTTCCGATGATTTATACCCCCATAAGCCCACAACTTGGAAGACTCTATGGAAGCTCAACATCTTTATAAATAAATAGAAAGTATGTAATTTGGAAGTTCTAAGTAAAGAAGCAGCTAAAAAATCATGCTATGGTTCATGACTCCACATGAACTTTTATCAGTTCTAACAAATCAAGAAACTCAAGTTTTCTTCTCTGTACTTCGAGAGAAAAACATCAATAGCCATAAGTAAGGAATTTTATAGTAAAAGAATATCCACCTGAAGTCAGCATTCTAAGACATCTTTTCAGGGTGTGATGCAAAGCTTCAAGAAGATCAGAGCAGCTTATTCTTTCAGACAATTGATTGAGAGACAAAGATGACTTAACAACAGCAAGATCATCATCGCGAAGCAAGCTCAATATAGCATCTTGAATCGGAAAAACATCCTGAAAATGGGGGTGAAAACAAGAATGTTTAATAAGTAACAAATAATAACCCTAAAACCAATGATCAACAGATGTAGTGTTTGTTGCCAACCAATATTAGACAAAAGAATATGAACCCACATATACATTGAGCTCCAATTTACACAAGTCAATTCTCCATCCCCCAACCTAAACATTAAATAAAAAAAGCAAAAAGATTTGCTAGAGGCTTGAAATACAGAAAACATAATGCAATGCAACAGGAAGTACCTGGGCATCAGCTGCAAAGTCAGACATGTTTAAACCAGAAAGAGTAGCACATCGTACGGAAGCCTAAGTTCAAAAGAAAGAATATGAACGCTTGACTACTACAACAAAGGAAATAAAACTGATAACAAATTGCACCTCCATAAAACAGCACAGATATACCTCTGGATGGTGCAAACCGAACCATGCTTTTGAATTTGAAATAGACAAGGACGAATCCAGATTTCCATCCAAAACTTTACATAAATTGTCTAACATTCTACCTCCTTTCCCCAATTGGATTTTGGTGTCCTATTAGGAAAATGAATTAATATAAAAACAACCTGAAGTACAAGAACATAAACATGCACACAAAGATGCACATAGAGATAGAGAGACTGCTAGGTCAACTGACCTCCAGGAACTTGTGAACCACTCTACGTAGTTCAGAAGGGTAAATCTTGTTGATAACAACCAAAGTCTTTTTGGCCCAATTTCCTAAAAAATTGTCCAGACTTGCAGTAAGCAAGAGCAATAAGAATAACAATGTATAACTATACAATCATAAAAAAAAAGTGTCTTTATTAAAGCTGGTGAAAGTGGACAGAAAAAACTCAAATAGCAATCCAAATAAATATTTGGAATGTGCATGAAAAGTAGCAGCTGGCATATCCAATACCAAATACCAAAAGACAACGTTGTATAAATTCTAATGATATACCTGACTCTGATGAAACAGGATTTCCTTTGCAGGATAGCCTCATGCAGGATGTCAAGATCCTAAAGACTACATGGTCAACCAGATTACTCATAGGAACAATCTCCATTACTGAAGCTAAAGCGCAATAGTATGAATCACCAGCACAACTGCAAAGGAGGGAAATCAGTTTTCATGGACCAAACAATGCAAGATATCTATCAGCCAACACGAATAGAACCAATAAGCAGGCTCACACCTGTGATCAACCAGAGATCCCACAAGCACAGCAAGGAATCTCTCAATGTCAAATTCGCGAGTCAATCCAAGAAGAATTTGGGACAGATCCCTTGAAAACAGAAAGTACAAGAACCTCAGAAACAAAACAAGTAAATGACTTGGGGCAAACAGAATTAAACGTATGCTGCTGTAAGTCATGGGCTACCTTATGTCCATTAAAAATCCCAAAGCATTCTTAGGGAGCAAGTTAACAGATTGCAGCTGCAAAAATATTCGCAAACAGAGTGAGAAGGGATATAAAACTCAAATTGTGTCTGTGCATTTAGAAAAAGGGATTATTTTTTAATAAAAAACTGTTGATAAGGATTTCATGCTAAGTAGAATACTATATTATTTAGAGTTCTAATAGTATAATTATATCATATAATTAGAGTTCAAATAGAATAAGGATAATTAGTCTATATATATCTTCTAAATGTAAACAAAACATGGAATAAAAATTAGAAATTTATTTTCTCTAAAAACTTCAAAAACATATGGGGATAAAAGACATTTAATAGATATTAACTTCCGTTATAAGCGTTGACCAAACTTTTTACAAGAAGGAAGTTCAAGATATAATATAATTGGTTAGTTGCTAACTAAAAGGCACACTGACCACCTATTACTTGAATTTCCTGTCCCCATAAATAACATTCTATAAAAATTTAAAACCAAAAGCAAATGTTTAAAGCTTTAAAACAAAAGGAAGTTTTTTTCATAGTTAATATACAATTAAGAAAACTATATCAAACACGTCAATTCGCCTTTAGTAAGAAGATAAATCATAATAGGAAAAGAACTTCAGGTCAAGCTACTCATAAACAAATGTCAGTCCCTGAACATAAGAAAATAACCCATCAGGAAAAGAGTGTATGGCCATGCTACTCATAAATACATGTCAGTACCTGAACAAGGTTTATTAGAGCCAAAAGTGCCAACCAAAGCCATTGTTCGTCACCCAACTTGGCATATCTGCTAGCTATTTCAGCAATTGATCGAATCCAATGTTTGACAAGATTAGAATTCAGTTTGACTTTCTCTGCTAGTAAACCCACTATTATCAAAGCACCGGCCTGCGCACATTAAACAAATGCTTCAAATTCAGAGCGACCAAGCAACTTCATCATCAACCTAAACTATTCAGAAAATATAAACAATCAGTCAGCAAGTTGAGTATATTAAATCTGCAAGACAAGTCCAAAAATGATATAAACAAAATAAAACAGGCAGTCTCCAAGAAAGCAAGCAGAAATGAGACATGCAATAAAACAAGCTTCCAATAATAAGACACATTTAATACACCACAGACAAAGTGGGCTTTCTAGGTAAAGCCTGTAAATCCGGCACGCGAGAGCCTCCTCTAAGTGGCCTTCCTCATAGCCTCTACTTGAGAAGTAGCCAGGAAATCGATCTACTTCACTAGTGCCTCCGCAAGATTGAGGTTGTTCCGCTTAACGGCCTTAGTGCAAGCGGTCTACACGTGCATGAGATGAATCTTGTTCTCTTCCGAATCCATCAGGACAACTAGGTGAGTTGATTCAATAGTGATTGGAATCCCAAAAAATGGCATTGGCGAGGATGAAAATGCTTCCAAGGTTGAGGTAGAGCATGAGCTTTTCAAGTGCTTATTATTGCTACCTCGTTGGACGATAAAAAATCCAACTGGATCAGCACTTGAGAACGGAATCTAACAATTACTTTTTTTTAATAATTTATGGACTTGTCTAAACTAGTTAGCATCTGATAATTTTAAATGTCACATTGCATTTTAATCCCTTCTCATTACCAACCATTACCACCATCACGTAGCACCTTCTAATTGATCTACGTGTAAGTTAATATCACATCAAATGTCATGTAGCATTAACCTATGCATGGGTCAAGCAAGTGTCATGGGTCGACACCTACGTTAGCATTAACTTACGCATGGGCCAATAGAAGGTGTCGTAAGTTGTCAAATTTGACACGTGACACCTAACTTAGCAATGTTAATAGTTGATAACAGGAAGGAACAAAACTACAGGTACTAATTTTACCAAAATTTGAGGTAATTTGAACAAAAGTTAATGGTACATGACTAAATCATATTTTAGCATTTGTTTATTTATTTAACATGTTTTTTTGTTCAAAGCAGTCTTTACCTCAATTTTATACCATATACTGAATAAATGGGTTTTGGGCATAAATGGCGCAAGTAGATCAAGATTTACATTTCTTTGGCTTGTTTTGCTGTAATAATTAATGGGTCCACCTCATCTTTTTTAAAGGCTACCAAAGGTCTCAAACAAGGTGACTCTCTATTTCATTTACTTTAAATCATTATTATGGAGGCACAAAACAGAATGTTAATGAGGGCCAGAGATCTTGATATGTTTAGAGGGTACAAAATCGGGCGTAGGTGACAACGCAGAAGAAGTGACTCATTTATTTTTTGCTGACAACACGTTATTGTTCTATGAAACAGATGATAGGAATCTACTTGACATCACGTGCTTCTTGAGCTTTCAGACAACATCCAATCTCAATATTAACATTGC